TCTCTTCTTTCCGATCTTTCCCATCGCGTTTAGAAGCAAACAATTGATTTACCAAATACTAAGCTGTTCGCAAATTCTTTGACAGTTTGAGCTGGACTTTCGTTTTGCAATTTATTGTCTTTGAAATTTTTAAGGTCTACAAGGCGTTCTTTGTCATGGACATCAAAATCACCATTTTTAGGCTTTTGAAACTAAAATAATTGGGATATGATGGAGCAGCATCACCCTAAGCTTCTAAAAATGTTAGCCGGGCTTCGGCTATCAAATTAAACAGGAGTATAAAGAATGTCGAAAATGCAATTTTGAGCGTTCCATTCATGCCTATATGCCTATGGAATAACGCAATAATACAAAATGAAAAACTGTTGTTTTAATCCTCTAAATTAACCTGTTTCACACATTGATACTTCGCATTACCTAATCATTTTCACTAATTGATGTCGCTGATCAAAATACATGCAAACACCTAATATTTACCTTAAATAGAAAATTTGCAAAACACATTTCTTGCATCTGATCCGATTGAAAGCAAATTTTTCTTTTGTTCGACAGTAAACGCAATAATTATTTAGTTCATTGCTTTCGCGCTTCTTTCCCTAATAAACTTAAAAATTATCCTTCAGCAACGCCTTTTTAATGGGGTAAAGATTTCTTTTTTAAAACCATTTAAATTAAGTGCAAATATTCTTCTTTGTTAAAACCTGTCAAACTGCAAAAATTAAAAAAAATTTAAAAAAAATAAATAAATAAAACGAATTTAAAAGGAACCACAAAAATTTGCAAGAATTTTGAAAAAAAAAGAAGAGATTGTTTAAATTGTAAACCATTTCATGAAAAGGCAAAGGGGTGGAAAATGATCTCCATTAAATGAAAAGAGAAGCCACGCTAGGTATGAGACTGTATGTATAGTATGTATATAAAGGTAACCAAAACTGAAACGAAAAAATTATACCAACGATGTTAGGTATCCTTAAAGAAAACATTTCACTTTTTTTCTTTTTTTTTTTATTATTAAATGCAATTTATCCGAAATTTTTTTTTTTTTTTGTGTGTGTATTCAATCAAAAACTTAGCTTGAGAGCTGAGTTTATATGCATTTCCCACAAATGGAAGTAAAACAAACACATGGTATATATGCATATGTAAATATATAGTTTTGCGTACACGCATAAATGATCAATGATTGCATCTCGAAAAGAATTGAGTTATTTGTATGAGATCATTGTACGATTCTTTCATTTCATTTCATTTTCAGTTTCATTTATTTATTTATTAAATAACTACCTTAGGCCTTTTACCTAGTTACATAGATACATTAGATGCGCAAAAAGACGCTATGACATAAGTGATTATGCATGTGTAGCTAAATGGGTGCTAATGTAATCATCTTGCCCCATAAACTGCATAATCATCAATTCCTACCATCAAGAGTGCGGTCAAGTTTCTTCTAAAAGTATTCAAAGTATCATCGAAGGTTTTCGGACTCAGTCTAGAAACACGAACAGTAAAAGATCGTTTAGCTGATCACGGCAATCGTTGAAAAGGCTTGGGGATCGAGTTTAAGCGATTTTGTAAAGGTAGTTGAGCAATGTGATTTTGAGAGAATCGTGAAAGGAGAATTTTCACACAGCTTAAATGAAGCAGGTGATATGGCCTCTAACTTTGACACTATGTAAACAAAATATGTTATACTTTCAACCCTATCTAAATAATCCTTTGGGCACCCAGAAAGGTCTTCAATACAATACAATCCAACATGCGTCTCGAGGAGAGATTGCCTAATAGTATGTTTTTTAACCTATAGGTGCAGATGTAGGTTAAGTTTGTACAGTTTTTGGAGAGTAAGACAAAATTTAGCACAGAAATTGTCAACGTGGGAGCCAAGGTTGAGTTTGCGATAAAGGGCTACCTCAACACATTGGATGGAATCTACTAAGCCAATGGAATACTTAGATTGAATGACCCAGCACAGGGAGAATTGAAGAATAGGCTTTTAGTCGTACTGAAGTTAATGCAACGCATATTATCTATCACCCAGCAGTTAACAACTACTACAGTTAATATTGTTTTCGAACGAATACAAATTATTTGTATTATCTCTATAAAGCCGAAAGATGTCATCTGCATAGGCAAAAAAACCGCGGTCGTTACCATCCAAATCCCCAAGATCATTTACGAAGAGATTAAACAGTAGGGAATCCGAAATGGAACCTTACGGTACACCAGGCATAATCACAGTTAGGGAAGTTTTAGAATCATTCAAGGAAACGCAGTGTTTACGATTCGAAATACGATACGACTACATAAGCTTACGAGCACTCCAAGAAAAGTTGTGTTTATCATACAATTTCTTATTAAGCTTAGTATATGGGACTCTGTCAAATGTTTTTCTTAGATCGAGAGCGACAAGAACGCAGCTACAAACAACAATGATGTTATCCCTCATGGACTCCGTGACGGAGATTGGAAACTTTCAAACTTTCGTCGAAGTTCAAGTCCGGGTCGAAAACCGAACTGGCCGTCATACAGGACAATACTGTTATTCAAAAATGAATCAAGTTGTTCCTTCATGATATATTCCGCAACTTTAAGAGGCAGGCTAGGATGCTAACCGCTCGCAGATTATGATGTGTTTTTTATCAATGATAGATAGAATTTTTTAAAGTTTGCTTTACATTGATAATATGTAGCAAATTTTTCTCATGAATATTTTTGTAATCACCAGAACGTGATATATATTAGCTTAAGATTTGTTCAGCCAATACACATCATTCTTGATACCGCTCAGATGCGATTTATAACCATACTTTCAATCAATTGTGGGCAAGACAAATCCATATTTGAATTATTTCGACTGTATGGTCTCTTATTTGACTAGCTCCGACTCCAACTTAACCCGACGAGAAAAAATTCGTTCTTCCAGGCAAAAGCTAACAATTATTTTGCCAGACGAATATATAAAGAAATATGGCTAATTCCATTCGCTTATAACGTGGGCCAAGAGAGACAAATATTTCATGGGCTTACCGGCACGCATTTCAAATAATCCATAAAGAAACCATAAGGATTTATCAGCTTGATAGTCTATCAAAATGGAATGATTTATAGTCCACCAAAAATGGAGAAAAATTGAATGATGCTTTGCCATTAAGAATTAACTATCCAATGTATTCAACCCATAAAAAATTCGACGATGTAAATTTACCCCTCTTTATGGGAAACGCCATCAAATATTTTACTCAGAAGAACCTTAAAAAACTTACGATTAAAACAAATTTGTCTATCGATTTTTACACAAGGTACAACCGATTTTCGGAATATGCTGGAAACTGTTAAATCCACAACTCATTCTCTGTGCTCTACAGCTTATATGCAACAATCTCTGTTCACTAATTGAAGACACTTAGGTAATTATATGGGACGAGAAATTTTATATGCATCATTGAACTCATCATGGAAGTAAAAGTGCGACGAAAAGCATAGGATGAACAATGAAGCATAAAAGAACTAAATGCTTGCTGTGCCTTGATAATCTCTACCTAAACCGCGCCCTTCCCAAACGCTGCGCCTTGTTTAGCCAGGTCTGTGGATAACCACTGCGCAAGATGCCTTCATGGTAAGGCCACGTCAATCCTTCGTGCCCTTTCGAGCCCGTACTGAGAGCTCGCCGTAATACGTACGCAAAGCTATCATTGTCACCAAAATATCATAAGACGGAGCCAATTCTCTAAAAGCCTCCACGGTGGCTTAATTAGGTACGAATGCCTTGATTTTTCCAACCCGACTTGAAGGTAACTGCCACACTTGGTGAACGATACGATTGTCATATAGCTATCATGTCTGCATAAGCTACATTGGTTTCGTTTAAGATGCCTTTTTAAACACTAACGCTATGGCAAAATCGTCGTAAGTCTGTCGAAGATAGCCGTAATGCCTCTAAGGACACTGTTGCTATAACAAAAGTAACATAAAACTATACCCAGTCGCTAATAAAACCTCCAGAACTTTCACTTGTGCTTTTCAAACTCAATTTGATGGCTGACAAGTCGGTAATCGCGGATTCAATTCTCAGAGCGGTAGAATTGTCTTTGGTCGTAGCTATAGTAACGGTTCAGTAGGCGAAGACGTAATGCTTACTTACCAGGCTGCGGCCACCTCAGCTTTCTTGACTTTTTCATTTTGTTACACTAATAGGAGATATCCCCTGAGTGATCAATCGTTTAAACAACATTCAGGATATACAAAAATCGATTAATGCAATGTCACAATAACCAAAAAAATTCTATCTTATACTAATATCAATCTTATAATGGCCTCTGTAGAAGATGTACCTTCTGCAATTGCTGTACCCTTTCAATATAGAGATCTAGGGCCGGTTATCGCAAGCGCTAGGGAATCGTTCTATTGTGACCAGTGAGCTTGCGTCGGCTTTACAGTAACATACGCACAAGTTAAGTGATAAGAAGTCACACAGGCATTCATATTCCATTGGCGGCCAGATTTAACTTAACACGAAGGTTATGATTACAGCCCTTCCTGCAGCGGCCTCAAGATTACCGATAAACTGATCTTAAAGATATTAAAAATATTCCCAAATTCCCAATTTACGACGCATGATATGAGTTGACTAAATCTAACACCTTGTCTTCTCGCCTGGATTAGAACTGCAAGCTTAAATAAGTATGCCAACCTGTGCTTGTTTTCTTCCAAGACAATAGTCGAATAGTCGAAGTGTTGTGATATCAAAAACGGTTTCGTAACGAACTTTCAATTACAATTGCCTGGTCTAGGCCATTCGGAAGCAAATAGATCGGATTATCCGAAGTTATTGGTGTAACCCATTTCTCTTCTCTCTTTTCCGTTTTGGTTTGGGAAATGTTTGTAAAATTTTTAAGAAAATTTAAAAACATATTAAAAGAAAGAATTTGTTTTAAATTGAAGATAAGACTTTATCACAAAATTTCATATCGTCTAATATTAATACTTTAGTTGTCATTATACTTTATATATATTTTTTATATATTTACAAAAGTCGATGCTTTTTGAAGCTTTTAAATTTTCTTAAAATATTCACTAATTAAATATCGATTATAACGAATACTTCGTAATGATTTCTTTCAGGTTCTTGGACAATTTGCATGGCTGAATACGTTATGGCTTTCACTTCGGTACCTTGCGGATGTTTATCCAAATCGAATGGCTCGCCGTAACAGCGACACTCAATTTCAAATGTTTCCATATCAAATTTTGTAATTTCCAATCGTTTGCATATTAAAAATGGCTCAGCCGAAAATAAAAATAACAATTCATCCAAGAAATGAAATAGTAAGCCTTCCACATCATCGGCTTTCGCTTCAATTTGATAACAATTAGTAACAGTAACATAATCCAATTCTGTCATGTAACCGAACATCGCCATTCCGCATTGCTCAAATGTTTCGAGTAGTGACTCTCCCCAAGCATGTAATCTTAAATGGAGATTTCATGAAACAATTATTCCAAATATTTAACATAAACGAGACGAAGATTGATAGACTTACTGTACATCGGCGGTATGATCCAAATCTGCATTAATAGAAAAAGACGAACAATTGGCTATCAAATTGAGAATTAATAACTTTTAATTGTGCCTTAGTACTTACATTCGTATTTGATTTCGGGTAAAAAGAACTCTTCTTTACTAAATTCAACTTCCATTTTATATAATTAACAAAATATAAACGATCAAATAACCAAAACAAAAAATATATTGAATAAAGTTTACTTTATATTAATAGAAAAATTCCATGTGTCACTGTATTTAAGTATTGTGTTTGTTCTTGTTGTTGTTGCTGTTGGTCTCGTAATGTTTAACATGTGTGTTTTGTTTTTATTGTGAAATTTTACTGTCAACTTTGAACATATGTTCATGCTTTTGCAGTCATCTGTTTTAATTCGCTAGATGTAGTTATTGTAAAAGATTAATTGATCTTGAAACGGATGTACATAAAATAACAGATTAACAGGAAAAAAGTTTAAATTTAAATTTCATTTAAACATTTTTATATGAGATAGTTAAGACGTCAATTATACTACAATGAGTTTGATTTTGTTTTTTTTTTTTTTTTTACGACCACTACAGAACGATGAGCGCATATTCAGCTCGTCAAAACGTTTGCAAAACTCAGAAGCAAGTTTTAGAGACCGCATATCTGTCTACATACATTCTCGATCAGCACCAATTCTGAAAGAAAGATTTTCATGGGGCTTGCTCCCGCTTGGAACTTCAAACGAGAAGTAGTAAAATTTATCAAATATTGCTAAATTTTTCAAAGATTCTTACCGAGACATTTCACTGCCGTGATGTCATTATCGCTCAGGCTTCTCCTACTGCTGAATATGACAACCGAATAGATTAATAGCTCATATAAAATCCCATTGCGTGTTCTTCTTTTCAAATGATTCCAAACTGACATGGGGTTGATGTGTAGTGCCTCCCTTACTCCTCGCAGCTTACGTGCGGGTCGTGCTCCATCAGTTGCAAAATTTCATCGACTTTTTGAATCAGAGCCAGATTCATCTTTGACATCGAAATATCTAGAACCAAGTCAAGCAAAGCTGTGGTGTTCACTAATCTGGATTGTATGGTTAATACGAAGGAAAGAGTGACTATGTCGCTTAAACTAAGGCTAAAGGCATTATAGTCTAAATTTATGCTCCACGGGTGTCGGCAGCCCTCTCACACCGACTATTGTTTTGGAATTCCTAAAGGATGAAACCGAAAAGTGTATATTATGTTCATTGGTCATATTCTTTGTCTTTATAAGGAGAAGGATAGTCCATTTATGCAGCCCTTCACGCAACATGCACAGTGACCTATTTCCTAAAAAAAAGTGAACGGTCTTAAAGTCATGAAGTTTTTGAGAACAAAATTCTTGTGGCACTTTATCTATACGTTTTACAATGCCAGTGTTCAAGCAAAAAGGGAGGAATATATGATGAAGGGAGTAATTGTTTCTTTTCTATATAAGCACAAGCCAGTAGTTATTTTTTCGTAACTCTCTGTAGAAAGCATATGCGATTTGTCAAATATAAAATGCAGAAATAACACAAGTAATAACGCGATAGCTGGGCAAAGGCCGACTTTTACCTATCCTGCAGCACTTCGTTCGGTGATGGATATAAAGACGCACATTTAATAGAATTAGTGAATCTATCAATTCTGGTAGACGAGAGAAATTCCAAAATATTGCGAAATATAATAATTTAAATGGGTGAGGAGAGTTTCGATGCTTTCGCGTATTACCGAAATAAAGTAAAAAAGTATTATGAAAGGAGGAACTATTAAAAAAAATTCTGAGAACGATTAAAGGATTAACAGAAACTACAATGGTAACATATTTCCTAAATGCTCACGAGTAGCTGCGAGTAGAGTTGGTTGCATTGGTTTACTGCAGATTGGTGTTTGCCAAAATCCTTTAGGGGTAAGCTTGGGTACTTACTTAAATGTAAATACCCTGCTAGAAGCTAGTAGGTCTAATCACTCAGTTTGAACCAATGTGTGAGTTTTAATTGCTGTGTACAGCCCTTCGGCGGGTATAGAGATAATGATAGGCCTCAACACTTCCCAGAGTGAGTTCATAGGGCCATACACAATAAATATATCTGGTTTTGCCAGTATACCTTGGTGTAAAACCTTCATGGTAGTACCCATGTACCCACGTTAAATCTTCAGAGAGATCTGTTTAATAAAGCTATTCGTAAAAAAACTCTCCAAAATAACGCTTCATATGGAGAATGGTTGAAAAAGTGTTCCGAATTGAACCATTTCCAATAGCGTTCGTTCTTAGACGAAAACACATCGTTATACCAAATATTGTCAAAATATTTTAGAAATTGCAACCTATAGTTTGAACACAAGAAAATAAGACGGACAAACGGACAGATAAGCTTAGATCAATTCAAAAAGTCATTCAGAATCGACGATCGATGATAAAACGAACGGTAAAAAAAGTCGACGCCAAGACATTCTGAATGTTGCATGCAATCGCGTAAGCTTAATACCCCCTTGTACCACCACCACTACAAGATACAAAAACAAGATAATTAATAAAATTCAAGTCTTTGCACGTCTTATATTAAAGCATTATATTATCTTTTTCTTTTATATATGTAAAATTCTATGCCACCTTTCCTAATATAACAAACTTTTTCTTCTATTAATTTATAACAATTTTATAAATAAAGAAAAAAATCAAAAAAAAAAAAAACAGTCATTATTTAATTCGATTATCATGAGTATCTTAAGAACTTTTCTACGGGAAAATATCTAAACGATTCATTAAAAATATCAGTAAAAGCCGTACTAATTAATTCATTAATCATCGGTTTTATAAACGGTAGACCCAGCGGCCACATCGTATTTATCACACCATCTGTTAAATTGTCGAATGTCGATTGACCTGCGGCTAAAATATCGGCAACATGCATTTTTAATCCGCCCATATTATTCACTTCTATGTTGACTTTTAAAAGTGATCCTGGTCCACCCAATCGCCTAACGCTCGTGGTTTGACTAAAACACGCATTTTAACTTGTCTTAGAAGCAATTTGTAACTTAATAATGAAAGGCATTTTAAAATTTTTACCTATAATCATTTAATGTCATATTCCAGAAACCTTTACGCTTAATGGGTGTACCAAATAACGCACCAGAAAATTCATACCAACCGTCCAAACTCTTTTCAGGGAAATATTGCGAATATATTATTCGTTTTTGCGATAAATCCGTCTGATATTTTGTTATCTGAGAACGTGACCACCCGTATTCGGATATATTGCGTAAAAGTAATTTAAAGCCAGCTAAACCATTGCTATCCCCTCGACGCATTTCAACAAATGAAGCATAGTGGGGATCAAAAGGTCGTACATTATAGATGGGAATACCTAAAAATGAGAATTAATTTATTGAAAAAATTGAAATTTTGAAATGAAAACTCTCTACCTACCCGTCGTATAATATGTTTTTAAATCATTCAAAACTTCTTTCATACATTGATCGTAGTCTTCACTGTTCATTTTACAGCGGCCAAGCAAATGGGTTAAGTCTTCATCAACCGAAAATTGATCTTGTGCTTGGACATTACAATTAATTATAACTATAATGACTAGTAGTATAGCGTTTTTTACTACTTTTCTCAAGCACATATTTAAGTATTAATGTTATGACTTTTCTTTTATTATTATATCACCAATTAATGTTATGCCATTCGTTATGAAGTTTTTAAACCATTACAACTTTTGCCGATGAAATTAACATTAAAAAAAAAAAAAAGAAGAAAACAAATTGCTCCGCTTTGTAACCTTTAGCGCTTTATAAAAGGCATCAGTTTTAATGAATGTTACAGCAATTTTGTACATATACCGACTATTAAATTATGTATCAAGAAAATATGAAATTTAACAATTTCCACATAAGGCAAGTAAAAACGTTATTAAATAACCCTACATCATTTTACAGTTATTTATGCAATTGCTTTTCAAAATAAGCAGTTACAGGGGAATTGATCGAAAAAGCGGTCCGATTGGAAAAATTTCCAATAGCGTTCGTTCTTAAGTCCAGAACATGTCAGCCTATCAACTTTCATGAAAATATCCCAAAAATTACGACAAGTAGTGTAGATTGAAGATGCACAGGCGCATAGACGGACTGATAAGCTTAAGTCGATTCAGAAAGTTATTCTTAATCGGTCGGTATAATAAAGAGATGGAGGGCGGTCTCCAATCCCCTTCCTTCTGAGTGTTACATACAATCACACAAATTTAATACATTCTTCTACCAAATGCGATGTAGAGTATAACATAAGCGAGAAGCTTGATTAACTTATGCAAAATCATGTAATACCCGCTAAACCTTGCATTACATTTAATAACAGGAGGAAGGGCAGTACCTTTCATTCGGCAAACGTTGCGTATTATATCATTTATATATCATATATGATATATATTTAAAATTGTCGAGATCCATATTTAAATTCTCTGATTTTCAAACGGTTTCATTTTTTCTTCAAATCTAACTCTGGATTTAACAAATTCTTGATTGAGATTTTCACCAAGCGAACAGACCTACATGTCCAATCCGATCTCGATATTCTATTAGTAACGCAGGTAAAGAGCATGTGTACATTTGCGGAAGGTCACATTACTTAAGCCGACTATCGTATGCGTACCAAATCCGATTTTTATATGACTTGAGAGCATTTCATAGGCATTTGTAAAAACTAAAAATCATATAAACACACTTATAATACACTTTTTATATCCTCTACTGAGGGACGGGAGTATACTCTTTTTATTTTTTTTTCATAATGTGCGTATTACTCATAAGGAAGCTTGTAAGTCTGAGTAAGTCTGAGTCTATAAAGTATATATATTTGTGATCAGCGCGTAATTCTGAATTGATTAAGTAATGTCTGTCCGTAATACCTGTGTGGTGTTTGTTGTTGGCACTTTTCTGGTTGCAAAAATGAAGAGAGAATCAACTTCAAATTTAATAGAAACATTCGAAGTTTCAGCACGGAGGTTGGTATTGAAAACGGGCCAAATTGGTCTGAGCAGAAGCGCACAGTTGAGCATCAACTGAATTCAATTTCACTTTTTTTATAACAATTCGTAGGTTTTTGCACGTTACTTAGAAATTATGAAAGTTTGAAGGCTGAAATTTTCCACATTTACTTTGTGAAAAATTCTTTTTATTAAATTTTATTTTTTTCACTTTTTAAGGTTTTATGCTTATTTACCATAAGGCAAACAAGATAGAATGTTTTAAACTATTTTTCATATACCTCAAAGGAAGATATATTATTCGCCTAAGAATGGATAGACACCTCTATCTGGTGGTTTAATTTTTTCTTAATCATACCAGCGATGTGGGTACTAAATAGAAGAACTTGGAGAATAAAATACGAAAAGCATGGCGGTGAGTATACGAGAATATAACTTTCGTACTTATTTAGATTGTTAAACTTGACTCGAAGTTTCTACTACCGAAAAGTTCATCACCTGTTTTAAGGAACCTCAAGCTTTTTCGAATTTATTGCCCATATTTCAAAAAAGAAGAAGAAAGGAAGTGATCCATTTTTGTACATTATCAACGAACTGAAATTTTCCTTATTTCTCGACTTAAAACGGCACAAACGATAAGAAACAGTTCGATTTCAAGGGGGCGGATAAGCAGATATCCCGGGCCAACCGGGCAAATTACACGATGACCAAATGCATACTTCTATGCATCTATGTGTTAAAAAATTTCGATATCTAATACTGCAACAACAAAATTTTACGATAATGGCTCATTAACAGATCCCAAGCTTTTGAGTAGCTCCCTAAATCCAAATCATAATAGCTGTGTTACGGACAGTGGATTATAGACGAAAATGTATTTAAAAAATTAAAACGTTTTAATCGGTGGTAACCTACTGCCAAATACTGCTATCAAATATAGCTCGTTCAATATTATTCTTCGTCACAAAATGCCAAAAAAACATGCGTCGCTACCGTGCAAAACCGTACTTTCTATGAGAACTCTTTACGTAGGAGGGAGGGGAGTGTGAGAAATAGATCAATGCGGTGCAAATTTTTATGTCTAGTCAGTAACATGGTCTAATTTCCGTCATAAAATATGAAAAACAAGTGAAAAACTTTTTTTCCGGAACGATCATCGATCGTCAAAGATCTTCCTATTCTTTATCTATTTTCGCCAAAGAAATTTTGCTATCATATGAAGGCTTGTTTTTCATGAAAAATCTTACCTAGGATTCAATAAATAAATACACCCAATAGGATAGAATCTAAATCATTTCCAATAGGAATTGCTCTTGGGCTCGAACAACCTATTATTAAAGCATTCCGTAAATTGCGATCTATGAAAGCAACATACATGCGTAGATACCAGACAGATAGACAGGCAGACGTACGAACGGACAGACAAACTAAAATCTATTTGGGAAACGATTCCAAATAGATTGATACAATAGAAGGTGTATTTCATTCGCTCGTTAGCTATACTCGCATACTTTTTTTGAAAACTGACAACAAGTGGTGTAGGGTATAAATAAACATCATTTTTTGTTATTTGGCCGCCATAAACAGACTTGTGGTGTCGCGAGTATCTGATTTAAATTTTAAATGTTGATCTCTTTTAATGAAAATGATATGAGATTTCCAACCACAAACACCAAACCAACCGACCTACATAATTAATTCGTTACAAGTTTACAAAGACCCTTAGGCTAGTCTCTGTTGTGAGGAAATCAGCAAACCTCTTAACACACAATGATCGTTGCAATGCCGGGTAATTGTTTACATATATATATGACGCATAAGTTAGTTAATGCAACTGCGTTTCTTTACGGTAAATATTACAACCACTTAATCGAAACACGTTTATCATTGCATTGCTTTAACGAAAATCTCTTTGTTGTGCAATATTTTCAGGAACAATGAATGAACGGATTTGCAAAAATCCTGTTAATTATTGTATAGCGCGTGCAACGTACCACACTTATTTAACATCAATTATTATGAAACATTAAAACAAAAAATTTATTTTTAATTATATTTAACTATTTGCAATATTAACGCTTCCTTCTTACTACGTCTTCACTCGATGAAAAACGTAAAGAGCGTCTGCTTCGATATACCTCACTCAACTGTTTAAAACCATGTTGCTTGAAAACACACAGAAAAAAAAGAAAAAGAAAATTGCACGCAAATAAAACGATTTTTTGTAAAATTTAGTAACATAGAGCAAATGCTTTACAGAAATATGAAAGCTTTTCGTTAAAGCTTTTTAATCGAAAACACGCTTATGTTGCATTTAGTTTTTTCAAAAATCAAAAAAAAAATAAATAAACAAAAATGCAATAAAGCAGGTGTGGCCAAGTAACAATCTCTCCCTGGCCAAGAACGGAAAACACTTTCATAATAAATTTGCAACAAGTGTTCACTCGAAACTCTCACAAAAACAGCATAAAACCTCTATGCAGCTGCAATTGTCCTAGTCCATCAAGCCTTCCTTGATTGCCTAATGTCGCGAAATATACTTAAGTGTGATATAGATTTGGAAATTTCAGAAAAATCCATTCCTCCGCCGAAGGATAAGGAATATATTCATTTTGTGAAAAAACTTGCAACGACCAGAAGAATGCTTCAGAGATCCCAGTTATCATATATATTCTTAATCAGCATTAAATTTTAAATTGATTGAAGCATGTCCATCTGTCCAAGTGTGTAATGTAGGTTGTAAGGACTCTCTTGACCCCAAGAATGAAGCTCTTGATTTCAATTCATATAAATTTGGCATAAACGCTGGAATTTTTTGCACGCAGGTTGGTGTTGGAAATGGGCCTATCCAATATTATAGTGTATCGAAATTTCTTTTTTTTCATACAAGCAGAAACAAGCTTTAAAACCCACACAAATTATGTAAATTCTTAGTCAGTTTCAAATTTGGAATGGACCTAAACATGTTGATATGTTCGTCTGTTCCTCTGTCTGCCTGCGCAACTGTGTGTAGTGTTTGTGGTAAACATTTTTCCGTCAGCGAAAATGAAGCTATCGCCTACAAATTTGCAAAAAATGTTGTAAAAGTGACTTAAACTTTTCCAAGAACACGCCTATAATGTAGCCCACTATGCGACACAAACTTTTATTTCGGAAATAGAAAAACTCAGCCGCGCCTTCTGCTTATCATAGAGCATGAAAATTTAGTTCTTTTACTTTTTTTGTCTTTTTTAGGATAAAGGCGATGGGTACGAAATATTCGGTCAAGAGCGAATATACTTTTCTTTCTTGTTAATCCTACCACTGCCTCTGGCACATATTTTTGTATTTTAAATTATAAAAATATGTGCATTGATAAAATGTAACGGTTAAAAAAAAGAGAATTTACAAAAAAAGTCTGCCAGAGTGAGATTATGAACGCGGGAATGGGAATGTCGTATCACTCCGGACTGTTCGTCGATATTTGTTAGGTAGAAATTTACCAAGAAGAACAGCTCGGGAAGTTACTTTGCTTAGAGCAGTTAATTTGCGGAAGAAGAAAAACATTGCTTCCTCCGAGAGTGGAGAAATATAGTTTGGAATGACAAAACAAAAATAAATTTTTTTGGAAATGATGCGTGAAGGAATATATTTCGACCAAAAACAGAAGAATTTCACATTAGGTTTACTAAAAACCACTAAAGCGTGAAGGAGGACATCAAATGGTATGGGGCTCTTTCCCTTGGCAGGTTATCGGTCTGCTACATCTCAGAAAATGGATCTGTTTTTCTTTGGATGGTGTCGATCCGATATATGTCAGAGAAAACACTATAGATAGTTGTGTATTTGAAAACTTGTCGCAAACAAGTAGGTGATATACTCATTTTGTTTTTTGCTTTAGAGATCCTATTAAGTATATATATTCTTGAAAGCCCCTTGAGAGCCCCTTAATTTCCTTCAACGTTATTATTCTATCAGCCTTTGTTCTATTCAAGATAAAGGCGTTCACAAGCCAATGTGTTTTTTTTTTTGAGCTATTAACGTGGTTTTGTAAGTTAAGAATTCAATTTCATGTCTACGGTAGTCCTGTGTATCCTGAGTATAAATAATTATAATTTTGCTTCGCTATATTTACTACCCTATTGTTGTGGTTACAACTAACTATCGCTTAAATTATTATATGGCATAGGTCATTGTGAATATTTGCCTACTTTACAATTCTGACGACATTGTGTTAACGTTTAGTAGGCATAAGGAAACAGAACACTCTTTTCAAGACTGTTCTAGTAGATTAGACGCAGGTTGGTAACGCGGCGTATATGTAACTAGATATATTAGATATATTATTTGTTAAATAATTGAATTCCATATTTATCCTTTGGTGTCTTACAAATAAGCAATACATAATCTTTCGCAGTTCTATTTGGATATGTGCTACGAAATACATGGAGAAATTTGAACCCACTCAATGGCCTTAAAGATAGATACTGATTATGGGACCTATTTGAAATTTTTAAGGCGTATATAACAAGTACAAACACTGTTGATGTCTGCTCCTGTGTCTAATAGAAATGATATTTCTGGTTTGGTTGCATTGTTAATATTTAGTAATATATGGTTGGATAATTTTGAGAGGGAGAAGATATGGGAGTTTGCTTGTTTTGTGTATTCAGTCGATGCCTGGTTCAAGTGTTTTGTTGAGGAATCTGGGTGAAATTCGTTTCCCTGGTCTTCTATTGCGTGTACGCGGTTGTTTTGGTTGTTGTTTCTGTGATTTCTGTTATTATTATTATTTTGATTTCGATAGTTGAAATTCCTATTATTGTTATTGTTTCTATTTAAATTGTTGTTATTGTAATAATTCCTCTTTTGATTATTGTATCCTTGATTGTTTTTATTGGGATTACTGTTGTGATATTGATGATAGCTCTGAAGTGTTCCTTTGAAAGAAGAACTGTTTTGTAGAGGTTGATGAAACTTCTTTTACAAAATCACGAAATATCTTATATGAAAAATTGGACCCTTGTGCTTCAAATTTGATCCACTTCATTACTCAAACTAATATCTTGCACAAACTTTCATCAAAAGTCTTAGGTTATTTTGACATAGAAGTGTTTACACTTACTGAGGATCGATGCTACCCGAAAGAATAGATCAACGTGGGCCAAATTTGATTACATAGATTTCTTTGTCAATTTTTTGTTATGAATCAGTTTTCATCATATAAAGATTCAGTTTTCGTAGGTATGTCGTATGGTCAAATGTGTGAAAATGTCCCCAGCCGATTCAAAGTTTTCGCACCAATTTGGAATGCCGAAATATTACTATTCAGCCGCTTTATGTGGAAATTTTCGAGATTGCAATTTATTTCCGAAATGGTCGAAAAGGTGGACCAAAGCAAACCATTTTCAATAGTCATCGCCCTTGGGTCAAAGAACGTCCAAATTTCAGCAAAATATCTCAAAAATTGCGATCTGTAGGTTGAACACAAGAATACATGGGCAGGCATTAAACAGACAAATGCACAGACAAGCTTAGATCAGAGAATCATTTTGTGAATCGATCGCTATAACAAGAGGTGGGTCGGTCTTACAAACTGCGCCACAAGCGATAGGTATAAAAAGTCAACTTATAGACGAAGTGAAACGACACTTATAAGACTACATGATAAAAATTTTTCTTAAAATTAATGCTAGTAATGGATTAATTTAAATAAATATTAAGCGCAATTTATTGAGCAATAATTGATAAAAAAAGTTTCATTTTTCTTTTTATAATCAACATTTACGTGCATTATAGTTGTCTTCTTCTTGCTGCCTTAATCAAGAATCAATCAACAATCTCAATGGTATAATCTGGATATTTGGCCAACAAAATTTTTTCGTTTCACAATGATCAGCTTTACCGAAACCCTGCGCAAGAGACTTTAACTCGTTAAATGATCTATGAAATCGCCTGACAGGGAGATGTTTACCTGCGACTGACCGTAAACTTTTTATTCTTTTTAACTAATGAATCACGTACGATTCTACCATCGCCTAAGATTTCGGCTTTCAAGCCGACGCCTTACAGGACGCCTTGACGCGTTCATAAATGTCAACTGCGTAAATACACAAAAAAAAAAATGCATTCTGAATGAAGTGTAGGTATATAGGATTCAATAAAATTTACAATGTCTCTGGCAGTTCTTGTATCCTCTGACTATTACGTCGCAGAATCAGCGCAATTCTCCTGATCGCTGACTTTGATAACTACATACCTGAAACTGCCTTCCTCGATATCCGCTGGCTAAAAAGATGATAGCATCGGCAACTTCATCGGTCTTGCCAGGCCGGCGAAAGTAACTAAGTAAGCTTAAACAGTTCGTTAAACGTTAAAGACGGTCACTAGGTTCCAAGGGTTGTGCCATTCCAGTGTCTGTACAAAAATTCGATATTTATTTAAAATCTCCTTAAGTGTACCTTTGAAGTTTTGTTTCGTTCCGAGCAATGTGTTTCAGTTTTAGTGGATAACGCCCGCCGCAAATAGCGAAGAACTTATTAATCAGATGGTGAGAAAAACTCTAACATTAATGTAGTAAATAGCGTCATGTATTTCGTTTTCCCTTCCCTTTAGATATTAGCTTATGTGCCACAAATGCTGCGTGCCAGTTTATAGATGCGGACAAATTTCCAAAATGCAACGCGGAATTTGGAATTGTCGGCTTGCTAACATTGCTAATGCTATTTCATCAAGGACCGGACGACCGAACAAAATCTAATCAATTAAAATGAATCGGTTAAATTACAAGACGTACGTCGGTGCACTCAGGCTATAGTACTCATTTAACATATATTGAATACACAATACATGTTCAATTATCGAAAAATGTAAACAAATGTGTGGATGCTTATTCTCATATACGCATATTCTCCAAAGCGCCGAATTTTTATACATGCGACAGCTGTTCATAAACAAAATATGAAAATTCTTTTTTTGTATGCTGGATGTTATATGTTATGGTAGGTAAGCAAAGACGATTTTTCTGATGAGTAGTAAGCCGTTCAAAAAAAGATTTAATTTTATGATGGAAAATAAGAGTAAACAAAAATGTATTCATGCATTTATTGAAAAAAAAAAAAATGTAATAATATACATTATATATATAAACACTAAAAAAGCTATAACTATAAAAAAGGATGCTTTGCAGAGGAGAGTTATAATTGGCCAGGAGCGGCCATTAACTAGCCCACAAAATTTCACCGAAGAATACAATTCTTACTTTATTTTCGTGACAAAATAACAAAAATTATATCGTGTTTCCATATAAAAGCATTCTTTTTATGACATATTATATACTTGTATACTTGGTCTTAATTTTTATATGCAATTAATTTTTATATCATTTTATTATTATGAACCAATTTTTATCATAAAATATTAAAAATATAAAAGATTACCTTTCCTTGGAACCATTAAATCAAAAAAATGCAATTTTTTCCATATAAAAGCTTTTTCAGATGGGGCGCTGTATGGAGGAAATAGTTCAAACCAATCTATTTTCGGTAAAACTCGTCCTTATACCAAAACAAAGTCACCAAATTTCGTCAACATATAAAGCAGACGAAACTGCGGATTAAACATAGACACATGTGGATGGACAGATAAGCTTAAAACGATTCTTAAACTGTTTCTGAATCGATTAGTATAATAAAAGTTGAGTTAATATTAAGTCCTTTTGTACATAGTCCATTCACACATAGTTTGTGGTCTTGTACCACAAATGGTGTATGATATAAAAATTGTTAAATAGTAAATAAAAATAGTAAAAAAAATAGCATTTTCTCGTGATTAAGAAAAATTTTTATGAATTTTACGTCTATTGCTATAGGTTTGTTAAGCTTAGATTTCTGTAATCTTCTTGATGACTATGATTATCAATGGCTAGCTTTCATTTGGCACACCCCTCCCCCTCCGTTTTGCCCTTGTGAAAATTATGCCAACAAATGTCAATTAATTGATAAACACTGTAATTATGTTGAAAAATAATTTCACAGAATGAAAAGTTCAAAAGAATCTTTAACGCTTGTAATCCTCTTTGACGTCGTTATTTTAGGATAGTTTGTTACTTAAGTCTTTCGTTCCATGTCTCAGTTTACGGCAAGTTAGCGGAGCTACTTTGTTTTTATAATCTAAGCAAAAACTCTACATTAAAAATTGACGATTTATTTACATAAACGCAACAAACTGACCTGACAAAGGAGTAACGTTTCGTACTTACATATGTATTTTTCTCAGTAAAATGAAGCATAATTAGTAAAATGAAGTAAAATGGAGCAAAAAAATCCAAAAGTTAATTATCATCTAACTGCACTGCTACCGGTACGTGAACATCAACTTTTTTGTGAAAATTCTTACCAACTTTCATGTATGGCAGAGTTGGTAGCAATAATCTGCCTAAGTTAATCTCGCCATATGCTGTCTTTTCTAATTGCCAATTCACGGTATCAAGCAGCAGTTGATAAGCGGCAATCAATTCTGGTTCAAGTGTATTAACTAAAGTTGATACAAAATTAGAAGAAAATTAATAATAATAATATTAAAATTATTATCATGCAACAATGTCGGAATAAGCAAAAAAACATACTTTTAGTTGGTTTTTTAGCTAAATCGAAAGTATACTGCAGGTATTTAAGTTGAAGATACAAATCGTCTTCGCCATACTGACGTACTAAATAACCATTTTTGCAACGCATACAAATTGATCGATTGCCGCTGGTGACGTGCGTATAGCTACGCGTATTTTGATTGCAGGCTGGATCATCACATACCAGCCAGTTTTGATAGAAACGTGTTATATATTTTCGCATAGTCAAAGTCAATTGATTACGTATAGCTATCACTTGATGATAGGGAGCATTATTGCACTCAGGATTGCAACATTTTTGCAAGACCGGTTCATAGCTACCGCCAGCCGGTTTAAAAGCGGAGGCCATAAGATTTTCAGTATTACAATTATTACAAATGAAAGTGAATTTTTCACATGCTCGAAAGTGCTGTAAATTATTTTTCGTAATTTCGGCCTGAGCTTCTTCAGCCTTTTCTTGTTGCAATTTTTGTACATGACTCTTAAATTTAGTGGCATCAAGACCCAAGCATTCGGCGATGCGACCTGCATCCGTACCTTCTAAGACATCTATCATACGTGTTACTACCGGATGTATTTGATGAGCCAAATAGTAGTTATCATCTAATTTTAATGTTTCACTACTCTTTACTTCGTCTAAATGATAAGCTCTTTGAGTAGCAGGATTAGTAGTACCATCATTACAAATTACATAATCCACCATATCACCTTTTTTATAGCGACGGTTACGTGTTGAATTCATTCGTAAGGCTACCTGCACGTGAGGTTGAGCGGACGCGCTATTGAAATCACCAGGAGCCTTTGATAATTGTTTTGTTATTAAAAACATGGGTAGCGGAACTTCTCCGTTCACAATTTGATCGCGAACTTTCTCGAGATGAAAATGTATGACTTCAAGTTTATCATCCAATGATTTATCGGACAAAACTTCATCTAAAACTACTTTGCCAACCATTATAGCGATTTGAGACCAATCTCGACGGACTATATCAAGTCCCTTGTGTTCTTGCTCTTTAATTAATTCGCCTAAAAAGGAAAACATACTTTCAAATAGAGGATAGATAATAAAAAAAAAAGTAAAATTTACTACCTTTGCTAGTTTTGCTCACTTTAACAGCAGCGTATTTCTTTTTCTTTAACAGCAAAAGGCAGCTAAAGACCCCATCAACATCCAATTCCAATTGTTTATATAGTTTATTAACGTTTTGTTTAATTGTGTGCCCAATTTTAAAGACTTGATCATAATCAGTGATATTCGTGTTTACCATAATTGAATCGGTGTCACCATATACTACTTCATAATTCATTTTCTGTACTAGGGCTTTTGTATTCATAAGAATTTCACGTCCCTTATGCGTTACCAAGGCGGCCAAGTGCTGAGCAAAAAAACGAGAGTGAGCGAAACCCAAACATCCGTACATAGAATTTGCAGTCAATTTTAAGGCCATTTGTCGTATGTGATACTGCAGTTTTAAGTCGGCCGATAGATCAGCATTAGCCATTAGCTTTTTTACTTCCCGCCGCGATTCTACTAAGCGCTTCAATTGCAGTGGCAGGATCCCAGGGTCCATTTCAGGGCTTGGCAATTCAGGTAAGTCATCTAAATTGTATGGTTGCTGAACCGTTGTAAAGCAAATATTGTATTCCTGTATAATGCTCGGATATAGAGAATTGAAATCCATAAGAAGAATATATTTATCGTATAGTCCACGAATGGGATCCAAAACTAAACCGCCACTATAAGCAGCTTTTCTACGACCTCCGCTTGCAGCGGCATTAACAGCCGTGACATCATGGTCTGCGCCGTCATCCTTTGTAGTATTACTTTCGGCAGCAGAAGAAAAATCACGTTTGCGTTTGTCGGGTACTATGTAATTTTTCTCAGTAAAAGCATGTAGCAATAAGTATTCATTGCGTTCAGAACGGCCACTTTGCAAAGTGCGTGTCATAATATTACCACAAATATTGGTGATTTGCAAGGCCAATGGCATTATATTCAAATCATACATCAATCTCAATATGAAGGACGCGTCTTGCATTGTTAAAGTGATCAACTTTAATACACCATCACCTGTTTCGTACATATCCAGGAGATCTTCTTGAGTTATATCCAAACGATCTGTTTCTTTTATTTTCAATACATTTTGGCAAAGCGTTTGTAAATCGTACGATCTAGAACGTATACATTCTTCAGCGGAACGCTTGACGTCACATACCATACGTCCTACATAGAAATCCAACATTTTTTTGCCAAAAGCTATAGTCATCCGTAAGCGTCCCAAACGCGACCATTGCGGTATTTTTAATGTCACTATACGATCGGCAATTACATCGAATTGGCAGTCCATGGCATCATGAGTGACCAATAAGTCGGCATCAATTTGTTGATATTGAGCCAAAAACCAGCTTAGCAAAGCTCTTTCCGAGTCATGTTTAAATGCTTTGGTGGCCGTGAATTTAGACAATTTCACATTCAAATCGAACGGCCAATTGCATATAGCTGGACGCGTAAAACCGCACATATGTCGATTAAAGGCAGGTTGTGGTGCTTTCTTGTCAATATGAAAGCGACTATGGACTAACATTGAAATCATGCAGATTTCGTTCTTTAAAGATTTTGGATTAACAACGGTACGCACATTTAGGGTAAGCAACGTTAGAGGTGGTGGCGGCGCAGGTTTCGTGTCTTCAGCCAGCAACACATATTTCGGTTCACTTACACTAAGGTCAGTTTTACACCAACTCATAGGTGCTGGATTTAATGTGTATTGCTTCAATTTTAGCCAACAGGGACCTTTGATTTTACGATCCAATAAAAATCGTTCCAAAGAGGTTGTGTTTGCTCCAAATATATGGGCTATGGATCTATATTTACGCTTCAAATTTGGTATCGGGGTTTTTCCGTCATAATGAACTTCATATTTGTAAATAAACTTGTAAATAACAATGACTAAGGACAAATGCAAACTTACCTTCCATATAATCGCATTGTTGTGGCACATCAATACCAATGGAGTGATAGCCAAAGTTTTTGGTAACTTTACGTGAACGAAACTCGCTCAATTTTAAGTCGGTTGCAATCGTTTCATCGAATTCCTTGTATAAATCAGCGAGAGTAACCTTTTGTTTCGTGGGCTCTTTAGAAATTGGATCAAGAAGCTGAAAAAAATTGCTTTTATTTTTAATATTTCAAAAAGGAGCCTTCTTTCTTACATATTCCCGTGGTAGCAGATACAGAACGCGAGCTATTTTTTGAATTCGCACGCAGATTGACTTTCCGTCCAGCTTTCGGCCAAAGAGGAATACCTCGCCTGGACGTCGAATCGCATCTTCCCATGCTTCCCAATACCAGAAACGTAATTCTGACTCTTCGTCAGCAAAGGCATTAGTGGCAGCACTGGCTAGTTCCTCTTCAAAATCATCAGTTTGACATATATTTTCCCAGTTACTAAGCAATTTTTGCATATCCTTGGCTTCAGTTACAGCTGGTGTAATAGCTGGTGTAGGCTTTAAGGCTTTTTCTGGAGGTGCCTCTAAAGTTTCCCTCGGTGCAACTTTTTCCAATTCGAAAAGACTGGTATCATCTTGGAGGCAACTAAGGTCAAAATCGTCATCTTGAATTTCTGGCTTACTACCAATTACAGATTTTGAGTTTTCTTCAATTTCTACTGTTTTTGCATCTTCTGTGCTCTTCTCTCCTTGTTTGGAAACTACATCATCCGTAGGTTTTAATGGTTCACTGGGTTTAGTTTTATCATTCCCAAGTTTATCTTTACTAGGACTAATTCGGTCTGTTTGTTTGACCTTAATGTAATTTATAAAACTGTTCATATAATCATTGGCAGCAGCGTCATTAGCTTTCTTCGATGAATTACTTATAATTCTAGCTGGAGCTGTTACTTTCGGTGCGCCAGTTTCCTTTATGGAGTTGCCTTTTATAGATGTGTTATCCTGCAACTCACCCAAAATATCCGCTAAAATGTCATCATCTTTGATTGAGACAGCAGTTGCTTTTTTCGGCACAGCATTACTAAATAGACTACGTATGGAACCTTTGCCTTTAACTCGCTTTTCATCTTCACGTGCACGTTTTCTTGTACCTTTTTTCTTGTCCCGTTTTGAACTTCCAGCCTCCTCACCACCTGAATAATTGTCTTCATCTTCGAAGAAATCGCGGCCATCTTCAACATAGCCTGTACCATCTTTAATTTATAAAAGAGAAATAGAAAATTGTTTTAAACTTTTTAAGGATCCACAAATCTGTCACCAACCATCCTCTATCCAAACATCACCGTACAATTCTTTGGCTCTTTCAGCATATTCCCGTTCATCCACAAGCTCATATACGTTGTCTACATCCTTGTCAACTTCGTATTTATTTTTGCTGCCTTTCAATTGCTTAAGTTTTTCTAACGCAGCAAAACGTCCCGCTTTATCCGTTTTTAGACGTTTAGCTCGCGGTTCACCTTAACCCATAAGTGTACAATAAATAATAGTTTTTTATGTTTTTCTTCTTTTTTTTGATTACTCACTTGGTGAATCCGACATTTATGCGTGGATAGATGACAAAATAGACAAAATAATTAAAAATTCTAGCTAGTGTATGTCAAAAATAATTGGCGGGAAACCTCAAAGTAAACAAAAGCAAATACCAATAATAAAAGACCCAATCAAAAGTAACATTGATCTATTAAAACAACTACAGTGGTTATAAAGAACTCAACAATTAATAAATGAAAAGGAAACGAATTTTCAATCTCATAAAAATCTAATATAAATCAAATGGGATTGGTTTAAGGTACTATTTTATATTAATTTATAACAACTTGTTAAAATTATTAAGTTTTTTGTTACTGAATCAAAAAAAAACAAATTTATATTGTTGCAGCTGCCCTGTGAATTTAACAAGCCTGTGTTTATTATTTACATAGCTATTTTTAATTATTGTCAATGATGCTAATAATTTTATTTTAGTGTTAAGCTTGAAATAAAAAAAAAAAAACGCGTTTTTAATCTCATGAAAGTGAAATCTTATTTTAAACATTTTCCGATATGAACAGAACAGGCAAGACAATTAAAGAAAGCAATCGTAATGGTATATTGAATTGTTCCAATGAGATACGATAACAATTCAAAACGTTAGAGCGCTATGCATCTTTGATTATAAAGACAACTCTTTATATTTAAATTGTTTCTATTTTATTTTTCAGTTTTATTTTACATACAATTGTTGTTTTTGCCGATTTCATGATTAATTACTTATTCATTATTTCTCTGCTATTTTGTGAATAGTTTATGTTTGTTTTTCCATCTTGGTTTGATATTATACATTCTCTTTGGATTTTCTATACATCCATTGCGGATATTTACGCATCCTTTTCATCTAACAAATTTTTGAAGAGTGACCTTCTCATGTCCAATTCTTTTTCAAATAATAAGCGTTCACGTGTAGTTTCATCCCGCTCTCTATCCAGTTTCATTTCAAGTAACTGCAAACGCTTTTTTTCTACCTGCACTCTTAAGCGATGTAACTCCAATTGACGCTGTTTGAAGGTGGGAGAAGTAGATTTTCCGTTCATTTTCGGCGATGAAGATGACGGCATTTGATTTATTTTTTGTTCCATTTTAATTGATGGAATTGTTTGCGTCGGCACTTCTATACGAGATTCAGGTTTTTGAGTTGATTTGCTGGCACTCACACAGATATCACATGTAGTTTGTGCAGCTTCTGCTAATTTTTTTAGCGCCTTCACTATATCTTGCTGAGCGGGCTTCACGTCTAAAATTGATGTTTCCGGCTTTCTGTTCATTAACTCTTCTTCCTCATCTTCATCGCTTATGACAATAATTTCGGCATCTTGTGATAAAATTTGACCAATTTTAGGTTTCGTGTCTTCGGCATGAGCTTCTTGGAGCGGCGGTAAATTAAATATTTCCACTTTAACCGTATGGGAACTATGATCGCTTTTAATCGATCGTGTAGTACATGTACAACAGGAATCAGATTTTGAATTTTCGTTAGAAGTTGTTATCAACGGACGATTGCAACTCATATCAGATTTAGATAATTGGCTCTTTTGATGGTCTTCACTTTCCACTTCTTGTCGCGGTGGCATGTTATAAATTTCAACCTTAATACTTTGACGGCTTTCTTCGTTTGAAACACTTTTTTTGCAACACATAGGAGGCATTACGGTCTTGGAAGTACGTGGCTCGCAAATTGTTGAACTAGTATCGGTCACGAGTTCATCTACAGACATCTGATAAAGCCCACGTAGATTGTAAACATCTCCCCCTTCTTCTTCGGTTTTCAATTCCTTTTTAGCATTTAAAGCGGCAATCATTTGACTCCAGGTATCACGTTTCTTAACGTTAGAACCAGGACTCTTCCGCCTGTTACCAAAATGATAGTTTACAACAACTGTACGAAAAGTTTCCTTCTCAGGGGACGGATTCCAAATAATTTTACGTGGAATACGGCACGATTTTCTTAAGGTTTGTGCCTGAATTGAGTCTCTATTTAAATTTTGTTCATCTGCTAAAAGATGGAAAGAAAATTTTCATAAAATTTTTTCTTTAATCTATGTTAGAAGAAAACTTACCATGTTCTTTTTCTGAATTCATTTTACCAGCGGCAATAGAAATATCACAAATAAGCAGCAATTCGCAATTTAGAAAAAAATGCAAACGGGCCAAATTAATTAAAATGAATGGAAAAAAATTACAAAAAATTTTATCGTTTCCTTTTTTTTTTAATTTTTTAGTTTTTTTTTTTTTTTGATGTTAATGAAAATGTTTTCTATGCTTGATATGATTAAACAAAGAAAGCTTTGCGTTTCCAAATAATAGTCACCTCTGATACGCTTTGAAACAAGAAAACACACAATTTAAAATTATTGAAATCGACAAGTGCCAAAACCGCACATAAAATATCGTTTCAATAAAGTCAATATATTGATAACATTATATCGCATGCAACAAGCGCTACAAATAAATAATGATAATAATAATAAAAATGTATCTAACTCAAATTAGTTACATGACATAACTTAAAGGCTGAAATAGCTGAAGAAGTTGAGCATTGCATGGGAATGGTTGCATGATGACATTTATTCACTTAATCATTTTACTTTCTATAAAGGTAAAAAAAGAAAGAAAAGCAACGATATTTTTATTTATGTATATATGCCTTATTTTACTGTTGCTATTGTTTGTTTTCCAACTGATTTGTTTGTTTGTATAGCTTTGTCATTTTAACAGAGTTTTTGTTTGATTTGCCATTTAACAGACTCCGGTTACATAGCTTTGCCATTTAACAGATCTGAGTTACAATGGTTTGACATTTAACAGATCTGAGTTACATTGCTTTGCCATTTAACAGATCTCAGCTACAATGCTTTGCCATTTAACAGACCTCATGACGAATGTGTTGCCACTTTTTCTTATTTATTGGGAGCAACTCTATGTCTATTTTCTGCACATTTTTTTTGTTTCTTCGTCTTGTTGCTTTATGTTGGTGTAAAAGAAATAGGCAACTAACGGTTTTTTAGCCAAAAACGATTTTGTAAGCGCTTGCGAAGGATTGGGAAAGAAAATTTTTTTAATAAGAAAAGTAATTCTACCAAAAAATTACAGATAAGAACATCAATTAAACAAAAAAATTAAACAAAAAATACAAAAAAAATTAAAATTAATATTATAAACTATTATATCTGTGTTGTTTTAGTTTATTGTGTACTTTAATAAAGTTTTTATCACATATTTATTTTCAGCTTCAAATTCATAATTGACGTGTAAGTGAATTTTATAATAAAATATATATAATTTTTTGCCTAGGGGACCTTTACATTTCTCCATTTCGTCCAAAGTAGTTTTCCAGTGCATGTCATTTTATTTTGGTGCATTGCTGAATTAGATTTTATTTATTTATTTATTTATTTATTCCACTTATACAAGAAACTCAACTAAAACAAATTGGCAATCGAGTTCAATTAACTCTTAAAGTCAATCTTAAATTAATTAATCTTAAAACTTAGTATAAGTATAATAAAACAAACAGGAAGGAAAAAAAAAGAAAAAAAGCATGTACACAACTAGCATAGAGCCACATCCACAACCGGTACAGGGCCAAATTGCAAGTGAAAACCTAAGCCATCGCAAACATACGTAATCTTGTCAACCAATAATAGTTAATAACAATTAATTTTCGACTCATAATGACTTTTTAACGTTAAAAGGCAGTTCAAGTACGACATAGGTAAATCGCGCGTATTAAGCAAAGTTGCTGTAATGGACTTTAAAGAGGCCGTTAATGAGAATAAGTGATAGAAACCATTTAGGTTCTTGCAAACAACTCTGAGCGGGTTAAACATATCTGCATTGACTAAGCTTTATCAAGATAAAGTGCCTAGAGAAGCCGTTAGGGACATTAAAGCCTATCTCACGAAGTAATGCGGGCAAGTCAATTGTACCACTTATTAATTTGATTACGAAGGAAACCTCAAGAACAAATCTACGTTTCTCTAGTGATGGTAAGGATAACAAAAGCAACCCATCTTCATAGGGTGGAAGAGGGTCAATCGGGTCCCAACCCAAATTCCTAAGGGCAAACAGCAAGAATTGCTTTTGAACAGATTCAATTCAATCTACATAGCATCTGTATGAAGGAGACCACACAACAGAGGCATACTCAAGTATAGGTCTAACCAAACACATGTAAAGCCTTTTCGTAATGTAGGGATCATCAAGCTCTTTGGACCACGTCTTTATAAAACCAAGCGCGGCCCTAGCTTTGCTTAATGAGAACTCAATATGCAAATAGAAACGTGAGCTGTAATAAAATAGAATGCCTAAATCTGTGAACAAATCGACGTCCTCCAACTTGTGCGAACTTCCTTCTTGAGAAAGAAAGCTTAGATGTGAAACTATCAATAACAATAAACCAAAAGAAACATATAACAAAGAGATCAAACGAAACGAAAACGGTAAAAATGTTACAATATTTTTTTTCATTGTCCTTATTTTTATGAATTTAATAATGATTCATGTAAATGACTACTTTTGAATGTCAGCAATTGAACTGAATTGAATTATGAAACACAAATTTTAAAGCATTCTTCTGTTGTCAGCTATAATAAAATAAAGTCGTTGAGAGATTGCATTTTGCTGGTGTAAAATTTATCTCTCTATTGTGGGCGAGCAAGTGGATAAATCACAGCCACTTTTTAACCACGAATTTCAAATTCATTAAGAAAAGTTTTGCCAAAATTTCTATTTTCTGCTTTAATTCTTGTGACTGCGCTGATCCCATAATGACAGCGAATCCAATTTATCTTTTGCGAGGAGCATCATCCGCGTATTTATCATCTTTATTAGGTGAATCATTATTTAGCATTGATCAAGTTATCGAATAGTTTATTTAAAACAAAAAAGTTTAAATTATTTTATATTTTTCAGTTTATTAGAATTTGGGTTTTTATGCTCTCCAAGCCACAGATTAAAGGATTGTTAAGAAACAGATAATAGGCCACTTTGTAGCGGCCGCCATTTTTTTACGTGCCATTTTGATTACTGTGCTATCGTCAGCAAGCAAAATTTCGACATGATCGAGCATTTGCAAGTCCTCGAAATATCGAATGGAACTTCCTCTATTAATTATTAGGAATGATGAGCTATTTATAACATATTCAATGAAGCTGGGTTGGGATATAGGGAATGGGGGAGTCTCTCAACATTTAGCCATCCGCAAGATAATCTTGTTCAGGGCATATATGATTGACAGAAATTAAATAACACCATTTTTTGGTTAGTTGTTCATCCGTGTCATTCCATATCGTACTTTAACGGTACTTTCATTTATCGCCATTATCGATGCGTTTTGGAGAAAGTAGTCAATGGAGTCTCTTAATTATTATATTATTTTTGCTTTTACATGCCATTTCCAAGTAAATCTGATCGATGCATAAACAGATTCCCTCTAACTTTCACTCTATAGATATTTATTGTGAACTAATTAACTGATATATGTAACTTATATGTAACTTAAATATATAAAAACTATTCATATTTTGGGACAATGAAACTACATGATTTTCGACAATTATTAGTAATCGGTGTTATTATTTAATCGGTAAATTCAATTATTGCATATAAAAGCCAAATTAATGTTATTTGTTCACTTAAGGCTTTTTCAACCCCCGATAAGGTGTCGAAGACTTTTGTGAAATGTTTAAAACAGTTTTGATTTGTTTATACAAAAACTATAAGCTAATTTTATAAAGAAAAAAATCTTAATATAAAAAATATATATATATATATCTCCGATATTTCTGTTCATTAAACTTTACTCCACACAACAAAAATTGCATATACATTATAGGTGATCTTAAAAAACAAACTAAGAAATAAATTCAAAGTCTTCGTCTGCATCCAATATGTCCGTCACAGCTATTATAAAATAAATAGTGCAATAATAATCATATTTCTATACCTAATTGCCTTTTTTGGTTGAAGTTGGTCCAATGCACTACATACTACTGCTTCGTTTCCCGTTTCCAAGGCCGTTGTCCGAAGTGTTCAAAATAAAATTGACTTTTATGTTTTACAAGATTATTGAAGCATGACACATTGCGGACGGATGTTTCCCTACAATTTTCTCCGCTTAGCGCCAATCTTATCACGTACCCCAGGAGGTTTTTACGATGATCGTCTCCATTTGTGCATGTTCCTTTTCTCTGGAAGAACGGGACCCGGTCCACAATGGTCGCCTGTATACGCGCCCCTATTTATAGATCTGGCATGTGTTGGTTTGTTATAATACATATTAGCTTGTACGCCGTGTTGAATGCTGCGTATACGATTTCTTTGCGGAATTCGGCCTTGATGTTGTTGTTTGTTAGGATGATATAATCGTCCATATTTCTGGTCACAATGGTCCTTCTTTTCTGCACGCGTTTCTTTTGGGTATGGGTATGGTGAGGTCGACTAGACATTTCTGGCATTTTAGCTGCTCACGGATGTATCTTGCTACTCCATAGTCCGTGAACAGCCGGAAATAGTTAACGTGTTGAGAGGTACGTTTGTCGGTTACATCTCTGTATGCCACGCTATCCAGGCCGAATGGTCGGAACACTTCTACGGCTTCTGCCCGAATCTGATAGTCCAGGGTTTCTATCAGATGATAGTCGTCAGTCGTCGTATTGCCGCTACCTCAAAAATTCAATTGCGTTTTCTGCAAACGTGCTGTCAGCTTATTGATAAGCACCGTTGATCTTGTGCGCTTTTTAAACGTTGGAGCCATGTTACAGATGTACTTTGAAATTGAAATGTCAGGGTAAGCCTGCAGCTGCTCTTCTATCAATTTGGTGAAGTTGTCGATTGTTAGACGCGTACCGTTGCATACATGCTCCAGCGATAGTTCTCTTCGCAAATATTTTTTGCCTGCTTTTAACGCTGCTTTATTCTGGTCCCAATTGGCCTTGTTGATTGTGTTGCGATCGAAGACATTTGTGAACTTAGTGATGGCATCTATAAATTTATGAGTTTGCTCCGCTATGGGGCCAGCTATCGTCTTTTTGTTAATGGCTTCGTTTATGAAAGCAGGAGTTCTATCGCTGTAAAAGCTGATGAATTCGGGAAACTCCCGTGGTGCGACGACTGACGGTACGATCCCTCTGTTTAGCCAGAAATTACAAGTGGCGTT